GGCGCCCGCCTCGGGGAGGAGCCCTGGGGCGCGGGGAGCTCGGCAGAGCCCGGAGCTTTGTGGCAAAGGCGCCGCCGGGCTGCGACCTGCAGCAGGAGCGCCCCCGGCCCCGGCGAGCCGCAGCCAGACCTGGCGACCCTCCACAGAGCCCGGGAGCTGGGCCCCCAGCTCGGGGGACCAGGGGCTTCTGGGCCCCGGGACCTCCGGCTGCCCTGCAACCGCCCGCCGCGGGGGAAGGAGCCCGAGGGCAAGGGCAGCCCTGGAACCGGGCACTGCCGGGCAGGCGGCTCTTGGCTGCAGCCCTGGGACCAGGCCCCGCAACCGGGGTGTTGCCAAGTCTCAGGGTGGCGGGTGCTGGGGGCTCACGGGGTCTGAGCCAGCCCTCAGAGACTGGAGAACGGGCGCCCTGGCCTCCCTCTGCCAGCCCATTGTTGCTCCAGGGACCCCGTCCCACCCTCACCCCTGCCCCACGCTGCAGTCCGACTCCTCCGTGTCTGCATGGCAGACTGTCCACGGCCCTGCTCATTCTCCAACCCCAGCTGCTGCTCTTCCCCGTGGGATACAGGTCCCAAGCGCTGCTCCTGTGCCCAGATGAACCTGCACCACCATGAGAAACAAAGTGCCTAGAACCTGCTCCCTGGTTTTCTCCGTCCACTCACACGCCCTAAACACACGGGCAAACAAGTTCCCTTCATTAGGGTTTGTAACTGCACTGGCACAGTTCACTGTCGGCTGATGCCAGGTCTCTTCCCCAGCTTGATACAGGTCGTGTGAGGCCCGGAGGCTGGCAGCAGGGCTCCTTATCTGTTCTGCAGCAGTTGCTGCCCCGGCTCACGCTCCTTCCCCATCCTCAAATGCCCCGGAACCAGGTGCAGGGCCCAGGGCCCCACTGTGGGTCACTTCATATGGGCTTGGGGCTCAGAGTGGCAGATGCTGCCTCTCACCTCCTGAGGACGTGGGCCTGAGTCGACTGTACGTCAGCCCCTTCCCTTCCCCCTGTTCACCAGGAAGCGTGCCCAGAAACCAGCAGGGCCCAACCCGGGGCTGGGTCCCACCGAGCCTTCTGCTAGCCTGTTTGCAGTGGTTGCGCCGGGCCCCCTCAGGCCTTGGTTAAACGCAGGTGTGAGGCTCGCTGCTGTCCAGCCCGGTGGAGCAGCCATGGGTGCCTGGGTAGCTGCTCCTCACCCGCCCAGCCCCTCCAGAGCTCCTGGATGGACCCTCTGGGCCCTGAGCTCCCTCCTATGTGATCCCTTTGCTCCAGCAGTGCTTCTCCCACTCAGTGCTTCCAGGAAGAGCATGTCCAGGGCGGGGACGTTCCCAACAGCCTCAGCGGTTTAGGCAGATGTAAACCAGCCGTTCACCCCCTCAGTGTTGCCTCTGTCCCTCTGAGTGGCTCCCTGCACCCACCTGTTTCAGCAGCTACTGGCTCCTTCACAGGCCTCAGAGCTGTTGCTGCTTGTTCCAACTTGGCAGCAATCTGCTCATTTGGGAGGAAGGCCTCCTCTGAAGCCTAGGGGTGCCCTCCAAACATGCAGATGGCTGTGGAGCTCTTTATCTCCCAGCATGCGGCAGGTGGGTGCTGCAGAGGACCTTGCCTGTGATAGCAGGTGGAAGCAGAGCTCCACACCCAGCTCAGTTAGGAGAAGAAAGCAGCTGGGGTAGGTTCGTCGAGGGGGAGCTCTGGCAGTGCAGCAAGAGGGGGCAATGGATGGATCCTGCTGGCTGTCCCCTGGCTGCAAGGCGGAGCTGAGGTGTCTGGTGTTTCCCAGGCTTTTGGGCTTTGCTGGCTGCCATGTGAGGGGTCTATTCCCCCTTTCCCAGCAGCTCCTGCTGGCACCAACCTTGCAGAGTCCTGGCTGGAGGATCTTGCCCCTGTGCTCAGGCTCAGGCTGATGCTGTGCTAGGGGCAAGAAGGGATTCCTCGCTCCCCTGCTCCGGTCAGATCGGTTTGGGGTGGGGGGTGTTTGCCTTCCTCTGCAGGCAGGACACGGCCTCTGCCTGGGGTCTCTTGAGCATGCAGCATAAGCACTGCAGGTCTGTCAAACCTGGATTGGCCTCGTCAGCCATCTTCAGACCCACAGATACGAAAATCACGGAACACTATCATCCTCCACTGCAAGGGACTGCCGAAGAAGACCGTACATTCACTTTTAACAGACGCAGGACGCTGGTGGCTGCAGCACCCCCTGCTTTCCCGGGGCAGGGGCGATGCCTGGGGCTGTCAGGAGTGACCGTGTTGTCGCGTGGCTCTGAAGTCAGACACGGGGTGTCTGGGCTGGTCCGCGTGGGGCGGATCCTGCCTCAGGCGGGGGTCAGACTGGAGGTGATCTCTGTGCAACCCTTCCAGCTCCCCCCTTCTTTGATACTGCTGGCCTGCCCGTGGGTAAAGGGAGCAGTTAAGGAGGATCCAGGCATGCCCCAGCTGTCCCCACGGAAGAGGCTGTGGAGACACGTGCCCCAGATGTACGTTTGCAGACAGCAACGTTGCGGCGATGAGAGCACCTGAAATCAGAGGAGGCACCGGCACCAGCCGGGCTCGATGGCCTCGGCTGTCCCCTCCTGCTCAACGATCGATGGAACGGCTCGTCTCGTGCTGCTGTAGCACCCGGCAGCTGCCCTCAGGCCACGCTGGGCAGGCGCACGGAGACAAGGCTGCTCGCTTGAGGAGCTCCCGGTGGGATTACGTGGGGGAGGCCAGGACCCTGCCTGGGGCAGCGGGGGCGAAAGCGAGCGACACCGTGCGCGCCAGGAGCCGGGGGTGCCGCGAATCGGCCCAGGTCTCCTTTCTCGCAGGACTCTGGCGCTGACACCGCAAAGCTGGGAGGGAGGGAGGGGCCGCAAGAGGCCTAGCCCATCC